CACCCCGAGGCCATTCAGAGTCACCCCGAGACCTCTCAGGATCACCCCTAGGGCTTTACCCCGTTCCGAGGTGCCAATCTGTGGTACCCCCTGACAAAAGCCACCCCTTCCCCCTGTGCAGCGCCCACCCAGGGTCCCCCCGGCCACCCTGGGGACACTTTCCCTCACTGCCTGTCCCCTCCGCAGCACCTGCGGCCCCGGCGGGCAGTGGCAGTGCGAGGACCACGCCTGCCTGATGGACGGCGAGCTGATAGACGCGGTCAACAGGGGCAACTACGGGTAAGGAGCGGGCACGGCGAGGGTGGCACGGGGACCCTTCACCCCTCGGTGCCTTTTTGGGGTGACCCCGACCCGTGTCCCCCATGTCCCCCGCAGCTGGAGAGCCGCCAACTACAGCCAGTTCTGGGGGATGACCCTGGAGGACGGGATCCGGCACCGCCTGGGCACTTTCCGTCCCTCTCCCACCGTCATGAACATGAACGAGATGCAYGTGAGTGGGTGCGGGGAAACTGAGGCACGCCCGAGGGGTCGTCCCCCGCCTGTCCCCCCAGCGATTCCCCACCCCTCGGGCGGCTCTCGTGTTTGGAGACGGCAGCTCAGCAAATTCCCCCGGACAATCCCCGGGCTTGCCAGTGTTGTTTTTTCCCCCCTCTCCTCCGCGTTCGTTTCCCATCGGAACGGCGGCCCCGCCGCTGCTGACTCAGCAAAGCCGGCCGCCGCCGCGCTCGATCTCTCCCCGCACCCAAAAGCGGGGTGGGCATCGCCCAGGGGTCCCGGGGGTCCTGGAAGGGCGAGCGGTGCACGCCCGGCCCCGCGCTCCGGAGTTTGAGGTTTAATTTTAGAGGCGTTTCCTGCGCTGGGAGAAGCCGCGGGGTTGTGGCCGTGTCCTCCCCAGGAAGGTCGGGGCGGTGGCGGAAAGGTTGGGCCAGAGGCCACCGCGAGGGGCTGTGACACTCAGAGCTGTGCCCTTGAGGTGGCACCGAGGGACTTGAGGGGTCTGGGATGGGACCTGGTGTGGAGCCCGAATTTAGGGGAAATTGAGGGGTCTGACCCCTCCGGGATGAGGCAGCACCCAAATGTTTGTGGTTTGTGGTGATGTTCCTGTCCTGAGGGGTCCCTCAGTGGGGCTGGGGGACACTAAAGCTGTGTGGGGACAATCTCAGAGGGTGGCTGGGGTGGGAGTAGGAGGAACTGGGGTCCCTCAGTGGGGTTGGGGGACATTAATACTGTTTGGGGACAATCTAAAGGGTGGCTGGGATGGCAGGAGGAGGAGCGGGGGTCCCTCAGTGGGACTGGGGGACACTAAAGCTGAGTAGGGACAATCTCAGAGGGTGACTGAGGAGGCAGGAAGAGAACCGGGGGCCCTGCAGTGAGGCTGGGGGACACTAAAGCTGGCTGGGGACAATCTCAGAGGGTGGCTGGGATAGCAGGAGGAGGACCAGGTGTCCCTCAGTGGAGCTGGGGGGACATTAATGCTGTTTGGGGACAATCTCAGAGTGTGGCTGGGATGGCTGGGATGGCAGTAGGAGGAGCGAGGGTCCTGCAATGGGGCTGGGGGACATTAATGATGGTTGGGGACAATCTCAGAGGATGCCATGGGGTGGCTGGGATGGCAGGAGGAGGGTCTGGGGGGGTCCCTGTACCCTAAGTCCCCCCGGCCCCGCCCCGCAGATGAACATGGATTCCAACGAGGTGCTGCCGCGGCATTTCGACGCCGCCGCCAAATGGCCCGGGATGATCCACGAGCCGCTGGACCAGGGAAACTGCGCCGGCTCCTGGGCCTTCTCCACGGCCGGTGAGCGGGGCGGGGACAGCGGGGACAGCGGGGACACAAAGGACAGCGGGGACAGCGGGGACAGCGGGACAGCGGGACAATGGGGACAGCGGGACAATGGGGACAGCGGGACAGCGGGGA